TGCCTCGGCCTCCCAAAGTGCTGGGATTATAGGTGTAAGCCACTGTGCCAGACCAAGATTCATATTTAGCCAAGTTAAATTTGAAAAAGAGCAAAGAAGAGGGATTTGCCTTATTATATATTAAGATATTCTATAACATAATACAATATTAAATAAAAACAACATGGTACTGGTGTAGTCACAGACAAAATGACCAATTGAAAAATAGGTCAGAAGCAGAACACAAATGAAATGAAAACAGAAAGATACAAGTGGCATCAAAAATCAAACAGGAAGGAGACTGGGCACGGTGGCTCACACCTGTAATTCCAACACTTTAGGAGGCCGAGGCGGGCCGATCACTTGACGCCAGGAGTTCAAGAACAGCATGGCCAACATGGTGAAACCCCATCTCTAATTAGATGGGCATGGTGGTGCACGCCTGTAGTCCCAGCTACTTGGGAGGCTGAGGCAGAATTGCTTGAACCTGGGAGGCAGAGGTTGCAGCGAGCCAAGATTGTGCCACTGCACTCCAGCCTGGGAGATGGTGAGAGACTCCATCTCAGGGAAAAAAAAAAAAGAAAAGAAAAAAGAAGGAAAATCAACAGGAAGGAATAAACTGAGTAGACTTATGGAAAAAAAATGGCCTAGATCCTCACTTTACACCACAAACAGGGATGTATTACAGAGAGAATAAAGACTTAAGTGTGATTCTAAGTAGAGTAATGGACTGTAAAAAAAAACAGAAGAAAATACAGAATCTCTTTGTGATCTGGAAATCACTGGAAATGCAGACTGTTTTTAAACAAGACTTCAAAAGCACTATTGAAAGTAGTAAGACTGTACTCAACTGGAGAAGACAGCTGGAAAAACCTGAGGAGGAATTCAGCACACTATAGAGAATATTCCCGGGATCAGTGCAGCTGAAAGATGAAGGCAACTTATGGTAATAAACCATAAAGAAATATAGGTCTGTTAGAGGGTATATCACTCTCTTGCCTATCTGAAATATTTTCTCCTGCCTCTGCTTCCTTCCTATTTAAAACAAAGCATGTGTCTTCAATAAACATTTTTTGAGTTTCAGAGTTAAGAGCAGATAGTAGAGATGAATAAACTTGAGTCCAGTCCTTAAAAGAGCTCATAAGGCCAAGAAAGATGAGAAAACTAAATAAAACGTTTTATTTTTATCTGTCCTCACTATCTCTTCCTAGTAAATGTTTTAACTCCTGTTCTACAGGTAGGGAGATAGACCTTTGTCTAGGGTATCACTGAGGTACTGGCATTTGAGCAATAAGGAAAATCATTCTGGCAAAAGGAACAGCGCTAATAAAGTCACAAGGCCTTGAAAGAACATGGTGTATTGGAAAATGTTAAGCAGGTAACCTAATACTGGACATCCCAAAATGTACGTTACTGAATAGAGAAAGTAGTCTATGGCAGCTGTTTAGTCTTCTCTTAGTAGAATTGATGATTATATCAGCTAATTGTTACCTTTGAAGGCAGGGCCAAAGAAGATGAAGCAGGGATAAATGAAGGATAAATGTTAATGGTTAAGGAAGGGAAGCATTCTAGGAAGCAAAAATGACTTGCCGTGGAGTGATAATAAACACTGTACTATAAATTTAGAGGAGGAAGATATTGCTATCAGCCACAGTGGCCAGGAAAGGCTTCATGGAAGTGGTAGGGCTTCCTTTGGTCATTCAAAAAATAGAGTTGATCCTTATTACTTGCAGATTCTGTATTTGTGAGTTTGCCTACTTGCTAAAATTTATTTGCAATGCCCAAATCAATACTTGGAATGCTTTTGCAGTCACTTGTCGACATGAACAGAGGCAAAAAATTTGAGTCACGTGATGCACATGTTCCCAGCTTTGGTGAAACAAGGGGATGCTTTGCCTTCCTGTTTTAGCCCTTACACTGGAAACAAGTGTCCTTTTCATGGTCTATTTAGTGCTATATTTGTTGCATTTTTGAGCTTTTTGTGATTTCACTGTTTAAAATGCCCCCCAAGTGTAGTGATGAGGCTACCTAGTTCCCTAAGTGCCAGAAGGCTCTTCTTTTTAAAGAGAAAATACATACATTATGTAAGCATAAGTTATAGTGCCACTGGCTATGAGTTCAATGTTAATGAATCAACTATATTAAATAAGGTGCCTTAAAAATTTTTTTCTGCCTACATAAGGTGCCTTTAAAAAGAAACACACATAAAGCAAGGTATTTATGGGCTGGTTGACAAACATTTGATAAGAGGCTTGAAGGAACCTAATCCTGTATTTCTCCTAGTAGCAATGGTTCCATATTCACTAATTCATTATTTGTGGCTTTTTTACAGAACCACTGTGAATAAGAATTGGCTGTATATATTAGTAGCTGTTCTTGAAGCGGGGGATTCAAAGCTATAATCCACTAAAGAACAGATAATCATATACTTGCAAAAATAAAGCCATGAGTGCTATAAAAAGAAGCAAACACAGGCTGATGTCAGAACATCTCAGAGAGACTCTTGCTTCAGATAAGGGAGGTGAAGGATGGATTTCCAAAGGTGATGCTGCATTTTGCACTGCAAAAATGCACTGCATTTTGACGCGTAAGTACGAATCCATCAAATGAAAGGTAGAGAAATGCATTTTGCAATGGCTCAGTTTAGTGAGAGGACACACTTCTGTGGAGACAAACGGTTACTCCATCTTGAATGCTAATTTGTCATGCTGACTTCTGATTAGGCCCAGTCCTGTGATTATTACTTTATTTACTGTCCTTAGTGTAAGAACAAAGCAACCCTGATTTTATCACACAAATTACAGGCTATGATGCATATAGCATTCTTGCCTGTCTGGAGGGCTGCCTTTAAATGTCTCTATAGAGTACGTACACCCTTTCCTTATGGCACGTAAGTACTGGTCTGGGGAGTAATAGGGCAGAGATCTACCTGTCTTGCTGCCACTCAAGACCATGCTTCTGTCTGTAAGTTACCCCCAACAAAACACTCTTTACTGACCAAACTGGATTGTCTGCTTTGTTCATTTGATTTCTCCTTTGATATCTGGGGGGCACCTTGCATAAAGGGCCTTTTCATGGAACAACTTCTTTTAAGGAACTCAAAATAGTTTAGGATGGCTGGAGCAAAGACTGAAAGGCACTGAAAGGAGTTTCTAGGCAAAAAGGAAGGTGTCTGATTTATGAAAGAACCTTTATAGGATGTTAAATAATGTGTTTTATTCTAAAGATAATGTGGAAGTGAAGATTTTAAGCAAGAAAGTGACATGTTAGATCCAAATTTTTGAATTATTGCTATTAAAGGCAATGATTATGAGGGTAACTGAAGATGAACTGAGATGGTCAGCATAAAAGGCAAAGATATTAAAAGGCTTTTGCTATTATTTAGGAAGAATAAAAAACTTTAAATAAGACAGTGACAGGTATGAGAGATGGATGGGCAAAGTTTGAGCAGTCAGGGAAAGAAGTAGAAGCGTTCTCTGTGAAAATAAAGTGAACAAATGTTTGGAGAAAGGGAGGGTGAGCAAATCAGTTTACCTGGGGTATACAGTATTTGATAGAAGCTTTGGAAGGCTGAAGTGGAGAACCAGAGTCATGGAATAGCTGGTGATAAGGCTGAAAATATTGGTGACATCAGCCTGTGGCAAGGCTACAACAAACAGACTAAACAAATATAATTTTAACTTTTGGCAGTATTAAATTTATAAACAAATTTTGTTGTAAAATACATATAAAACCTACTGTTTTCATTAAGTATATGGTCCACTGCATTAAGTACATTCATATTGTGCAACCCACACACCACCACTCATCTCCAGAATCTAAATCATCCTAAACTGAAACTCTATTATTCACTGAAAAATAACTCATTTCCCCTTCTCCTGGGCACCCTCTCCACCCCTGCTCTTGCTACCTTTCCAGCTTCTGTTTCTAGAAGTTTTGACTACTCTAGATACTTAATGTAAGTAGAATCGTAATATTTGTCCTTTCATGTCTGGTTTATTTCACTTAGCTAAATCACTTTAATCAACACCCTGGTTATTCAGTAGCTGGATTCTAATTTGTATTCTACTCTATATGCTGTATTTTAAAACAAATGTCTTGCTTTGTAGTTCATAATCTTTCCACTTAATCCTTGAGGAGACTTCACTCTAGCAAATTATAAACTCAGAGTTCCTAAGAACAATTTAGCCTATCGGTGTCTCTCATAAAGAGCTTTCATTGATCTCCTTACTGAAAATGTCTTTAGATTGTGAATACTTTCATTCCACTACAGTTCATGGAACGTAGACGCTTCGTAAAATTCCACCTAGTATCTAAATAGAACTCAAGCAGGAATCAAACTTATTTGATCACCCAGGAAAATAGTTTGTTTATTTGGGTTGCTGATATGAAGACTCTCTTTTTTGATACTATATAATTTCCCGATGTGAGATAGGGCTGAATTTGCTCTAAATAAAGAGCATTTTAAAAATAACAAAACTTATCTTTATCAGGGGGAAAGTGCAGGCTGGAAACTACCTGAGAGACGTGAAGGTTCTCTCACCTTTCCCTTGGAGCATCCCTGAGTCATTAGGGCTCTACCAACAAGTCGAGTACTGTTGGACAAGGCACTAATCCTCTGGCGGTCTCGTTGGGCTCCATCAGACCAGCCTGTATTTATAAACCTCGTTCACATCACAGCATACACAGAATATGGTACTGGTAGGGCACTTGGGTAAATTGACGAGGTAGCGCGCTCTGCACCTGGAACCTACGGGCCGCCTGGTGTCGCGCACGCGGGTGTGTACGCTCTCAACGAGCGATCCATCCGGCAGGTCCGTTCCAGCTGACAGGCCACGGCCGTCTTACCGGGGACGAGCTAGGGCTCCCGCTGTTTCTGAAGTTCTAGCTCGGGGACGAGCTAGGACTCCCTCCTTGTAAGAAACAAGTTCTTTATATCATAAAGATAAGCAAAGAATAAAAAGGCACAAAGGCCGCAAGCAAAGCACACACTCAAAAACCGAACTACAACACTCGACCCGCGCATTCTCCGCCGACCTTACGTCTCTTCCCAGCAGGCTCCAGGAACCACCGCGAGACTTCATCAATTATCGCGAGATTTATCGGCAGCCATCTTCTTGGGGGTGCTGGGAGGCAGGAAGACCCCCTGAATCGTTCCCATTGAGCTGCCCTTCGCCTTCGCTTTCTTTACTTTTGCCTTTTCGACGTAGCCAACAAGCACCTGGTCCCGAGGCCGAGAGAACGCCTGGGTCTAAGCGCGTGTCGCGCTTCCGGTCTGGGTAGATTTGCTGGGGAAGAGGGAAGGGGGAGGGCCCGGGCAAACCGTTGCTGCTTCAGCCCGGGCCGGGGTCCGGGGACGGGGAGCTCCTGGCATCCCGTGCATTTGCGGCCTGCGGCGGTCCCTGCAGAGCTGTTCGCCGACCGGGGCCCGCGGGAACCTGCCACCGGCGCCTCCCACCGCGGCCCACGCGGGCGGCGCGCGGAGGAGGGGGCGGGGGCAGCGGCGGCTGTAGCGGCTGCGACCTGGGCGGGCGGAGGAGTGTGACGGGCCTTAGGGCCGCTGTGGATGGTTTCTAAAATGATCATTGAAAACTTCGAGGCACTCAAGTCCTGGCTCAGCAAGACTCTCGAGCCCATGTGAGTATCCGGGGGATATCTCTCTGCAGGGATGGCAGTGGGAGATAGGCGGATCCACAGATCTGTGCGGTTTCTCCGAGCGCCTACGGTGGAGGCCGAAGCGGTGAACGGAGGTCCCAGGGCTCTGTGGCTTTTCCTTCTCGTCCACCTCGCTTCTAGGTTCAAGATACCCCCAAGAGCCTGACTCGAGTTTTATTTTATTGCTGAGCTGGTCTCGTTTTCCCGTTATATGTAGACCGATTCCAACCCCCCACCCCCAATATTTTCCGAGGGCCTCAAAATCGGTTTTTAGTGAAACCGACTGTATTTTCCTTCCTACAGACTATTTTACCTTGTTTTTCTAAATGAAGTAGACGGCCTTTATTAGGGATTCGGGCAGTTCTAGCTTAAATCACTCACGTTTCACCTAAATACAATTCCTGAAAGCAAGGCCACGTCTCCCATGTGCTGTCTGGCTCATCTGCACCTCTCTTCACTGATTGAAGATGTAACAGGTGCTGAGGTGGCCAGTAAAATTCCCCTTTCCCGCCTACACGTTCGTTAGCTTGGAGAGGAGGAAGAAAATTGAATCTTCATACATATGGAATATTTAGCAGTTTTAAGTGGGATGCTATAGATAGACTTTGTGTTGGAGGGGGCCTTAGAGTGCTGAAATAGTCTTAGTTTGGAAAATTTAAGGAGTGTTTTGACGACTTGTTAATACTAAATATAACATGGACCAAGTGCTTTATCAGAATTGGTTGATTTATAATGCAATGAGGAAAATTCATGCATTTAATGAAGTTATTAGGTACCTACTATGTACTACGAGAGGCTTTGGGGATAGAGCTTTTAAATTCTAAAATCGACAAGAGATAAATCCAGATATTAATAGAACTGTGACTATTTTAATAATCATGTAAAAGAGTGATTATGAGGGAGGCTACTTCACATTGGTCAAGGAAGGACTCTCAGAGAAGGTGACATTGGAGCAACATCTAAAGAAGAGAAGGGACCATCTGTGTCAAAGTCTTGGAAAAGAACGTTTCTTGCAAAAGGAAGAGCAAATGAAAGGCGCTGTAGCAGAAGTAATTGTGGTGTGTTTCAGGAAGAGAAAGGCCATTGTGGCTGCAAGGAGCCTTGTGATGAGGGAGAGAATGTAAGAGAAGTTGGACAAGTAGGTAGGGGCCACATCATGTATGGGAAGATGTGAGATGATTTAAAGCAGACAAGGACTGATTTAATTTTGTTTTTAGTCTGCCTATTTTGTAACGAAGTAAGGAGACTATTCAGAAGGGTATTGTAGGCAGAGATGTGGCTAGTTTGCATTAGAATTTATTGTAGGCAGAGATGTGGCTAGTTTGCATTAGAGTGATGGTGGAGACAGGCAGATCCAAATACATTTTGTAAGTAAAATTAATGGATTAAATGTGGGAGATGAGGGAAAGGGAAATCAAGGGTGATGATGATCGCCTTAGATAAACCAAGCAACTGAATGAGTTATAGTAGAGAAGGCAGAGAACAGGTTAAGGAGAGAAGGAAAGGGGTTGGCTAGTTTTGATAATAAATACAGTAAGTATGACGTCTGTGGGATACATCTAAGTGTGAGATCATTGAATGTATGAGTCTAGAACTCAGGACTGGAGAAATCTGGAGTCATGCAGATGGTATTTAAAACCATGACATTGTGGGAAATTTCCTACGAAAAATGTGTAGATAGGGAAGAGAAGAGGACCTAGTACTGAGGCAGGAGGAAAACTGGGCTTTATGTCATTAAAGAACAAGTGTGTGACAAAAGAGAGGAGTTTATGAAATGCTGCAGAATGCGTGAAAAAATGTAGGCAAATAGGTGGCCCTTAGATGTAGCAAAGTGGAAGTCGTTGGTAACCTTAGCAAAATAGTTTCACTGGAGTGGAGTTGTGCAGATGGAAGCCCTATTTCAGTGTATTGGAGAGTGGGCATCATAGTATAGGGGTGAGAAGAACTCTGGAGCAGAATGTCTGGTTTTGAATACTGCCGCTGCCACTTACCAGCTGTATGATATTGGGTAAGTTACTTAACTCAGGGCTTCCATTTCCTCAACTGTAAAATTGGGAAAATAATGAATGTATATTAAGGAAATCTTAGACTACTGCCTGGTGCGTAATTAGCATTCAGTAGTTATTAGGTGAACACAAAACTTATAAATGTTTTGGGTTGAAATAGCTTTCCTTTAGGCGTTCAGTTTTCATATCAGATTTACTGCCGTATCCCCCCGTCTTACCTAAATGAGAAGACTGTAGCCACTTAGAGTGTATGCTTGTAATTTTTCTTTAGTCTTAATAAAACATATTCCATGTATCATAAAGCCTACTCTCGATGGCTGTAGCACTGCAGTCATTATGTTGTCGTAAATAAGGCACTGCTAGTAGAGCCTAGACACTGGGAATTGTAATTGGTCCTTTTCTAATGTATGTAGCTGTGGTAAAATTGAGCCCTTATCCAAGTTCTTGTCCTTTTAATTGCATTTCAGGTGGATTCTTTTGTATAATTTATAAAAGCTGATCCCAGTTATTTAAGATCAGTGATTTCTAACCTTGGTTTTGTGAAATGTTATGATCTGTTATCTAAAAGGATTTTTTATTTTTTTATTTTTTTTTTTGCTTTAACATTGTGATTACCAAACTACTCTGTTTGAGAGAGGAACATACAGAGGACCAAGGGTAAGCTGTAACTTGAAACTTACATAAAACTTTTTAGTTACCTGTGCTGGTTAAATACTTCATGGTTTTGGACTTACTCCACATTTTGAACGTGTTAATTCAGCAAACATTTATTTTAAGAGTACTTAACCTACTCTGTGCTAAGCAGTGTGCAAGATATTGGGGAAATAGGTAACAAGACGTGAAATGACTCTCTTCATTTTATTTACCATTTAGCAGGAAAGATAGGTGTTGAAGTCTGGGAACACTTCCCTGGTGTAATGTTTATCTCAGCTTGGAAGGATGAAGAACACTTTGCGGGGGAAAAGGATGGGATTGGAGACCTGTGAAAGCATTGTAGGTTTGGTGAACAGATTGTATGGAGGTCCTAAAAATGGACAAAAAAAGATATCTTGGAGGAAGTGAAAGAAATAGAAAAAAGCAAGGGAGAAGAATGGCAGTGGAAAGCTCCAGAGAAAGGAGTCAGATCACACAGGACTTTGTTGAGTCATGTTTAAGACTTTGGATGTTATTGATAGTGGGAAGCCAGTGAAGGGTTTTAGGGCAAAAGGGTTTTCAGATGGATGTTTAAAAAAAAAAAGCCTGGTTGTGTTTTCAGCGTGGAATAGAAGTCTGCATATCTGTATTTTACTCTTTAATAACTTCTGTACATGTACCAGGGTTCTGAGTTTCATAAATTATTGAAAATAATTTTCAATGTCTTTTTCATCAAATTGAAAATTTTGAACTTTATTGTCATCTTCAAACGCTTAAGACTGATGTTTTGTTATCTCAAAGTTTTGCTTAGTCATACTTGCTAATAATATGAGACTAAATGTTAGTCTTTTTTCTAATATTTCGTTTTGATGATAAGAAGTCCTGAAAAAAAATTAAGCTCTTTTGTTGTAGTAAACTTACAAAAACAAAAAAAAAACCAAAAAACTTTCTACTGTATTTAAAACTTTTAAGTGGACTTACTCATCAAAGTCATTTTTTTTGTTTGTTTTATTTTCTGAAGAGACACCGAAAGATCTAATGAAACCTTAATTTTTTAGAAAATAAAATTGAGGGGCAGATGGGTGTAATGATGTACTCAGGTTTTGTGAGTTGAGTAGTAAAGAAGAAAATGCCTAGTGTTGTGCTTCTGCCACTGTGTAGTGCTGTGGAGGAAGTGTGTGGTGGAAAGAAGATCTCTGTGCCCAGATAGATCAGTATTCAAATCTCACTTCTGCCGTTTATTAGCTGTCTAGGCAAAGGAACCTCCTCTTTCCTTATTGGTATAATAGGAAAGGGTTGAATGGGACACTTGTTTGAGAGCCTTGCCCTTCCCCTCCTTTCTTAGATAATTGGTTGATTAAACACAGATAGGTTACATTACTACTATTGCTACTGTTAGAATTATCACCAACACTCCTGCTGTGGCTACCACCTAAACTGTATGCATTGTTGTTAAACGTTTTGTATTATTGTGCTTACAAGTTTTATAAGGTAAGCATTGTTATCTCTCCATTTTGCAGGTGATGAGACTGAGGCACTGAAGCATGAAGTTAAGATTTATTTGCCTACAGTGATTTAAACTGTGGGCAAACTCTAGAACCACATGCATATTCTTAATTTACTGCTACACAATGCAGCATCCTAGTGTTTTCTATTACTGTATATACTTTTTTACTATGACATTTTCATAGTATTGGCTACTATTGTAAAAGAACAAAATTCTAAAGCATCGTGGTTATCAGTGCTTTAGAGTTTAAGAAATAAACATCTTTGGAGTTTTGTAGTATTTTTTCCTTCACCTGTACTTGTTACTACACCTTTCTCACCATATTAAAATTTATTTTTGTTCGTGTCTGATAGGAAGAATTATTCTTTTGAGTTTGCTAAATGATCTTTTTACTCCTGAACTTTTGAGTATTTTTGCTTCCTTTGACCTTTCCTTTTCAATTGGCTCCTTTTGGCATAGTAAGTCGATTTCCCATTCCTTAGGAAAAACTCAGCAATAGCAGCAAAAAACAAAAAAAATAAAATGCTTCTAGTCACTTTCTTGCTAGCTTTCTGTTCCTGTCGCTGGTAAATCTTGAAGTAGTAGTCAGACTTTTAATTTTTTGTTAATTTGACCTCAACCATTTACTTCTTAATGTCTTGGAATAGAATTTCTTCGTTGTAATATAATTAGAACCAAAATTGCTTACCTCAGTGTTACCACTCAATTTATATTTATTAAAATAAAGGCCCAAACTTTTATGTTTTTTGCCCTATGCATGTATAACATCAGTGTTGATGCCGCCTTTTTAACTTACTTACCTTGAATCCCTAATATGTTGGTTCCTTTTCTTAAAT